GTGGTGAAATCCCTGCTTCAGGGCAGGGACATGTGGCTTTATGCTCGGTGGCTTGGGCTTGACCAGGTGATTCACCTCACCCCTCTCTTACGCAACATGTGAATGAAGGGAGGAGTTCCAACCTCATCTGCTTCCAACACCATCACACAGCTCAAATTCGCGTGCGGTTGCATTTCCTCGGGTTCCCTGCAGCTGCTCCATCTGCAGGAACCCATCTTGGGTTGGTTTCAGATGCACCCATGCTGTAGATAAAGGGCAAAAGAAACAGGTACAAGTGTGCAAGTGGCTTCATGAAGTGTGGGAAATGCAGGGAGCAGGAGTCACGGCAGCCTGAACCCTCTGGAGCTCCCCAAGTGCTGGGCCAGCCATGCTCCATTTTTTTTGCTGCTCTAATCATTTCCCTGAGTTCGAATCCTTCCTTGCTCGGGACTACGAACTTTTCAGGGAGTTTGAAGGTTTTTTTCTGGGAGTTTTGTGACATTCTAAAAAATTTACGAGTTTGGGGTTCAGCGATCGCTGCTCGGGGCCTGGCTGCAGATTGGTCATCGGGCGGTGAGACACACTGCATTGCATAAGCTTGGTTTGTATATTCAACAATTATTATCATTGTTGCTGTCATTACTATTAGTAGTATTATTAGCAGCATTAGTATTTCCTTTGGTGTCTTATTAAACTGTCTTTATCTCTATGAGTCTCCCCTTTTGTCCATGTCTCCCCGTTGTCCCACTGGGGGGAAGGGGAGGGGTGGGCGAGCGGCTGTCCAGTGCCTAGACACCAGCTGCCAGGTCAAGCTACGGCACCAGCCCCACGCACCACCCGAGAGCATTTACTGACAGAGCCAGTTCAGCTGAAGCAGTGTGGATTAGCTGGTTTTTGCAGTGCATTACAGACTGTATTTACCAGGAAGGTGTGAGTCCACCTGGAGAGCAGGAGGGGATGCGCTTCCAGGGACGGCTAACCGGACAACTTGCTGGCACGGCAAGCAGCTGCCAGATGGCTGCCAGTTTTGCACCCAGCCTGGTGCAAACCCAGGAGCAAAACTCCCTGGGTGCAAAACTCCCACAAACCCCGGGGCTCCGCCGGGGTCACCCGCCGACCCCCAGCCACCACCTGCTTTCCCCAGCAGCAGCGGAGACAGCCAGCTCCACCCCACCGCTACCTGCAGCACAGGGATGCCCCTCGGTGCTGGAGCTGGCAGGGTTTTTGCTGGCAAAAGCCATCACACATGCTTAACTCTATGGAAAAAAGAAAGCCATGGGGCCAACGCAGCTCATTGCTTCAACCAGAACAACCAGAAGTACTCCCTACCTGGCATAAGCCATATTTTCCACGCACGCAGGGGATGGCGGGACTCGCTTGCACAAGGTCTGTAAGGAAAACTGTCCGGGCCAGACAAGCCAGAAAGCGGAAGGAAGGAGGACGGAGTCTACGCACTCGCTAGGGACTGCCTTGGGTTAGAGAAAGGCTCGGGGCCGGTCCGTGTGACTCACCGCGCCTGCCCGAGACGTGCTGCTGGCCTGACGCAACCCCTGCTCCAGCAGAAACAAAGCACCACGGGCCATCACCCTACCGGGGCGAAACACGGGAGCTGCAAGAGCTGCTATAAAAACCCACCCCTCTGCAACCTGCCAACCAAAGACGTTGCCCGTGAGCTGCTGGTAATGGAGAAACCCCTTCCACCCACCGCTTTGGGTGCTTTGTGTGTAGCCGAAAATATCCGCTGGTACCACCAGATGGACAGGATCCCCAGGCTTCTGCTTTCAGACACGGTTCTGCCAACAGCCTTCAAGGGCAAAACCACCAACGAGGAAGAAAACAGCTGTGAAAAGTAGCCCCGGATTTTTCCAGTCCTGAGTTTGCAGCGCGTTGGCTGCTTACTCACTTCATGCTAAGTCTCGAGCTGCCGGGTTGGGCCCCCGCCCTCCCCTCCAGCACAACTACTTCTTAGAGCTTGGAAGCTATTTTTTCCCACCCTGCTATCTAAAGAAAAAAAAAACACAACACAAAACCAAAAAAAAAAATTGGCGTGAAAGCTTTTATCATCCTGAAAACACGCCAACTGCGAAGGCGACTCTGTGTCTCAGACGCCTGTTTCCTGGCAGATTTTAAGTCCTTTGCTCAACTGCTAGGATGGCGGGGGCAGGAGATGCCTGCAGCAGCGGGCTGAGAGCTGTAGCTGCAAGCAGTCCCGTGTTTAACTGCTGCTGAACGCCCAGGAGAGCAACGTTTTCAAACAGCGGGCTAGGAGCTAGACGCTGAGCCAAGCGATGGCGCCGGCCCAGCCGAGGTACAGGAATGTGCCACTCGGTGATGCCGTGCCTGGAGATGTGGGGCCACCAGCACGGCTCCCAGGCAGCAGAGCGGGGTCACCCGGCTCAACCCCTCTGCCCGGTCACCTCTCTGCTTCCTGGGCAAGGTGGCTTCATCTCTGCTGGCTCCCAGGGGTTTGAAGATAAGAGCTACGCAGACCACAGAGCCCTTCGCCCCGGGGACGCTTTTCGGGGTTGCGAAGTGCTCGGAACGGGTTTTGCACGCGGAAATCCCTTTCCCACTCCAGCCACAAACTGCAGGGCCTCTTGGAAAAAAATGCACAGGGTGAGCAAAGGATGCAGTCCTGTCAGGCTTATTAGAGATAGAAAGCAGCTATCTCCTAGCACATCTACCCTAGCACCTACCTTTAACTAGCCCTTCTGCCAGCTGCTGATGTTCCCCAAGATTGCAGTTCAGGCCATCTAGGCATTGCTTCAACTCTAAGCTACTTGGAACCTCCTGTGAAAAGAAAACCAAGTAGTCTGGGAAGGCAGGAATTGATAGCCTTTCAGCTTTTTTTTTTTCCACCCTAGGGAGAAGTTACTAAGCAGAAACCAGCCTGGAACAGAGGTGCATGGGCCATCTCCAGAGGCTTTAAAGGATCATCTCGCTCTGCGCAAAATAGATGGTGCCCAGGAAACTGGCGCTTGTCAGATGAAATCACCACTCCCGCTGGATCTCTGCGAAGCCGAGTCCTGGCGCACCACGCGCGTCTCCAAGGGGAGGGATACCTTCCCACCCCCAGTGCACGACCCAGGATGACATTTTATGCCCTTGCCTGCAGCTTCCCTCCGGCTATCGCCCCGACTTGTGATGGTGCAGAGCGACGCATCACTGCGGCTGCGATGCGAAGCGTGAGGGTACAGCTCGGCTACTGCACAACCCAGCTGTACAAGGAGACCAGGGCTCTCCTCGTGCCTCACGTATTATCTGAAAACCACAAGACAAAAAGGAAGCTGCAAAGCTCCTGTAGAGCACAGAAAGCAAGCAACAGAAGTCCTCCAACATGCCATGCAAGCTGCCGTCTGTCCCTGCTGCCCTCCACATACACCTCTCCACCCCCCCCGAGTGCCCCGTTCGCTAACAAGAGGAGCGATCTTCATCCTCCTTTGTACTTGGATGTCTTCACCGTCTTCATTTCTACCTTCCCTCCACTGAAGCACAAGGACGGCGCCTTTCTCAGGAGGCAGCTAGCTACGAGACAGACTAAAGGGGTGAACAGTAAGCTTGCGGAGAAACCCACCCCAAAAACCTTAGCGTGGTCCTCGTCTTAGTCACATCTTGGGCAGCTGCAGGCCGCGGGCAGGAGAGGCCGTTACTGCACGGCCCTGCCCAAGGCCCCGCTCTCCAGCGCGACGCCGAGTCTGCCTAACACGAGCAGGGGAAGCATGGCTGCAGCTGGGACTGGCCTTCAGAGCTCAAAAATCCAACATGGCCTGCAAGAAACACAGTCAGGCACCGCTAAGAGAGCAAGCAGGAGCCAGCCAGGAGGCGGGGAGGTATTTCGAGTCATCTGACTGCACCACAGCCCTCTGCTTTGCAGAGCCTGGGTCCCACAGGGCACGGCAGCACAGCAACACAGAGCACAGCGGTGCTCCCCCACCAGCACCAACACCGCAGGCAGGCTGCTTTTCCAAGGTTAAGAAGCATCGGAAAACTGTTTGTGCAGTTCAGAAGACAGCAACTGACATTTTGGGGTGTCAAATCGGGATCATCGCAAACAGGGAGCAGCCCTGCCTTCAGTTGTCCCCACAAAAAAATCAGTAATAAGGTAAGTTTTGTGAAAATTGGTGCTCGTTAGAAGGAAAAGCATTCCCCCCGCTGCTGTGGTTCCCAAACCCAAATACGTAAATGATCGGCTGAAGTTCACAACTTGCAGCCAGGACACATTTTGGGATGCTCCCTCTCGGGCAGGCCAAGCAGGGAACACAACGCAGGCCGGAAGAGATCAGTATCTCCCACGCCACGGAAAGCACAACACTTCCAGGGCAGAGTTGGACGTGACCTGCAATGATTTCATCTGGCTTCTGTTGCACGCTGCAGCACAGTCTGCTGGTTCACTGTACACATGGAGAAAAAGCCATTCTTCTAAGCCATTTTTCCAGTGACGGGAATAAGCTCACATTTCAATTTGTATTTACCAAAACAAGAGCCAGACAGACTCAGTACTGCATGAAAGTGTGTTTATTCCAAAGCTGAACTTCTCACGTAAACCAATGTCTCTGAACAGCAACATCAGTCCTTACACAGATCTGCAACAGCCTTCTGGGCTCCAGGGCTTGGGGTCTCGAACCACCTCAACAGAGCAGTAGGGAACCTCTTTTCAGAATTGTCAGATAGGGGAGGGAAGCGACAAAAACCAGATACGTTGCCACTGGCACAATTTAAGAAATGGTGCCTGCTCACGAGAAGAGAAGAGGTGTCGAGACACTTGGCAGGGAGCTTAAGGTCTGCACAAAGATCTCGCAGACACCCTGCTCTTTGCAGGCTGCTTGCCAAGGAGCAGCTGCCGCTGTCAGGAGAGAACTGCATTATTGCTGCAGACAGAACACAGGACTGTTGGGTTTAATAAAGTGCTGAACTGCTTGCAAGGACTGAAGTAGCTGAGAGGACATGTTAGTGATGTGCTCCTTTGCAGGCCGGACCGCTCACACCAGCTCCAGCGTGCACGTTTGGTCCCAGCTGACACCCTAGAGGGGTTTACCTTCTTCCTCCTGCCTCAGCCTCTTGGAGAGATGCTCGCTGATGGCCATGAGGGGGTTGGCTCTGTACCTGGGATTGGCGATGACCTCATGAAACCGAGCCACTTCCTCCTCTCTGAGGAAAGAAAAATAACACACAAATGCTAAGTGCCTCACACGAAAGGAACTGAGCAGATAAGAACAGGACTCATGAAGCAGTGGGTTTCTGTACAGACAAAATGATCCTGTGTGCAAACCTCAGAAAGAAACAGTGCAAGGCGTCAACCAAATTTACCCAAGGGCAAAGCTCAGATTGCTGCCAGCTTCACAGGAGCCAGAGACTTGGTCTCATGCCACAGAGACAGAAACAATCACGTCAGTGTCCAGCATCACTTGGAAATGGGTTTTTTTTAGAGCTTTTCCCTAGTAAATCAGGAACAAGAGACTGTGGGTATCTGGTATATCACCAAGATTGAAAACTACTTTTGAGAGCACTAGCACAAGAGCAGATTCTGCTTTCGAGACCTCATCTACTGACCCTCTTTATTGCTCAACATAGAGGCTTGGTAATCCTATACGCAACACTAGTTAAACACCACGGGAGGAGCATTACAGTATTAATGTGCATGCTTGGTCACAGCTGGTTGCTGTGGAAATGGTCTTGTCTTCAAAAGCAAGCAAGCAGGGAAGAAGAAGAGAGCAGGAAGAGTGTAAAAAAAAAAAACCAAAAAAAAAAGAGCTTTCACAGAAGTCACATCCATTGCAACCTCCTCATCTCCCTCAGACAGACTGCTAGGCACTCCACAGCCCAGCCAGTCACACATCTTACGTTCTGCCTTCAACCCTTTAAGAGTTCACCCTTAGCCAAATCCAGGAATTCTTCAAAAGCATTTACTGCTTCATTTTACAAGAAAAGGTCTGGCAGATGCCAACGGACAGCTGTCCTCATAAGGGACGCATGGAACGTAAGTCAGCATCCCAGAGGTGTTCCAAGCAAGCAGCTGCAGCTCCTGGTGCTACGCAGGGTGCCAGGAGCTCCTCACCTACAGAGCCACAGGAGGCTTTCCTGCAGGGTATCAGCCAGACCTACACGGGCCTGGTGTCACAAGAGACTGAGCCACAGCTGGCTCTTGCAGCTCCACCTCAGCAAGCCAAGCCAAGGCGCGCACCGCCTGGTTGATAATCACCTCGTCCATGCCGCACAGAGAGGCACAGTACGGACACACTCACTTGCTCCAGCCAGAAATGACAACTGTGGCCGGGAGCAACAAGATGACAGTTGGTGTGGGTTTGTCTTGAAAGCCCACAGGCCACGTGCAGGAGGCCCAAGCCATCACTTTCTTTTCAATGAGACAGGGAAAGTGAACTCTTCATGGACCAAGTGCAGTTTCCCGTGCTCTCCTCGCCTAGATGTTATACGAGACAGAAGCTGAAGCAGACTGAATCCATTTAGAATTGACCAAGTCTGGTAGGGACCAAGACAGAAGGACACCCACAAACATCCTGCACTATCTAAAGGGAAAAAGATCAAAGCTGCCACCTCTTCTAGGGCCTCCAGGTGTGCAAGACAAACACTGGAACTGGTTTGCCTAGAGAGGCTGTGTGATCTCCATCCTTGGAGATATTCCAAAGCAGTGTGGACACGGTCCTGGGCAACCAGCTCTAGGTGAACCTGCTTGAGCAGGGGAGCTGGACCAGCTCACCCCAGAGGTCCCTTCCAGTCTCAAGCATTCTGTAACGCTCAGCAGGGACCGGACACCCTGATAACTGGGTACTTACAAGAGCCGGTGTTTCTGAGCTTGTTTCATCACACAGAAGTCTGCTGGCTCTGCCTTTGCTTTCACACAGCTGTGGAGAGAAGAAACAAAAGAAGTGAGGGAGCGTTACAGAGGAGCAGTAATTTAGCAATTGCTGTGGAGATGGAAAGAGTCCAGGGATTCTGCATCTGCCTTCCCTATAGGTAATTTGTCCTGTACGCAAATTGCCCTGAAAGGCCATTATTTCCATAGCCAGTAATGGAGATGTAAAACCCTTCAGCTACACGCTGACAACAGCTCAGGAGTCAGGACTGAACGGGCAGGAGGTCAAGGCGCTAAAGGAAAATTGGATCACTTCACTCTAGACCTGGCTGCGAGCTGTCCATGCCCAGATCACTCTCTGCTGGTCACTAACCTCCCGGTCAAACCGATGCTGTTGCTCAGACAAAAGATCCCATCGAACGTCCCCTCACCAGCAGGCAAGCGTCACCTCTGCACAGGCCAGGTTCCTTGCTAACACTGCCGAGCTCCAGCATGGGCAGACATCAGTTATAGACAGTGCCATGGTTACTCAGCAAGAAGACAGAACTGCCAGCCCTGCTTCGAGTCCTGCGGTGGGAGCACTGGGCTATAAGCTGTCATTTATATTTTAAGATGAAGACAATATTCCTTTCTCCCTGTGGACACTTATCCTCACCAAAGGTGCAGAGCTTCAGCTTTTGCAACCAAACATAGGTTCTGAGAACCCATGAAGCTGCAAGAAGACGGGCTCATGGGAATGCAGGGCGGTGCACTAAGGGCAGCGGAGGCACAGCAGCAAGCACAGATCCACACTCTCTGCGCCCATTTCTTGTTCCTGGGCAAAGGCCGAGCAGACCCGAGGTGCAATCCCACCCTGCACAGGGTGCTGGAAGCACGTGGTGCTCACGCTAAGCAGCGCCAGAGCTTCACCACAAAGCCAAGCGCTGGGCCCAAGCAAGGGACACGCAGGAAGGGCAGCCACTGCTTTTGCGACCTGAAGTGCGCAAGCAGAGCTGCTGGTAGAACTGGACATTAAGAGAAGGGGAAGAAACTTCCATTCTCCAGGATTACACAGATACAGAGGTAAACAGGAGAAGCAAGTGAGGAAGAGGGTCTGCCTCCGCAGAGCAGCTCCCCTCCCATTTGCCCTGGAGCTGAGCTCCAGCACACAGCCCAAGGAGGGAAAGGGGTCTGCTCAGCCTCTGCTTGGGCAGGGCTCAGGAAGAATCTTCCCTTACTGGTGGGTGCTGGGGGCCAAGGCCTCCCCTGCCTGATCTGCCCCAGAGCACTTCAGCTTTGTCAAGGTTAGGAAACATGACAGTCCCTCACCTTCTCTTCCAGATGGCAGGATCTGGTCTCTTCTTGGCAGTGTTAGTGACCTCCTCGTCCTATTTCCCTCACTGACCTGCTACCCTCCATCCTTTTATTTTGTATTTTTTTTCCCCATTCTTCCTTCCCTCCTCCTCCCTTGCCCCATATTCCTTCACCACGCTCACCTTCATCATCCCTCTCTACTTGACCAGGTCCTACTCCTTTTCCTCATCTCTCCCTCTCCTCACCCTGGCCCATTTTATATCTCCTCAAGGGGGATTCCTGGCTCTCACCACTGCCCTGATCACATCTGCTCTACCCTCAGCCCAGCACAGTGTGTCCCGGCATCAAGCTCCCTGCCAGCCCAGACAAACCCAAACGGGGTGGACGTATGGCAGCCAGCCTTCACAGCACAGAGCCTGTGCAGGAAAGGGCAGCCAGGCAGATCAATGCCTACGCGCTGCTCCCGTACCCTTCCGTCCCTCCCGAGGTCACCCCGGCACTGCCGGCGTTACACAACAGGCCTGAGAGCTGGCGAGGAACGGCCATCAGCGAGAGCAGACAAACAGCTCCAGGGGCTGGAGCAGCTCCCACCACGCTGCTGCACCCACTGGTACTGCAAGGCACAGGAAGAGCTGGAAGCATCTCTGCTCTCTTCGCATCCGTTAACTGCTCCGTACAAGAACAATTTCTCCTCACTGTTTGCCTGGATGACTCACAGAAGCAGTCCCTTCTCAAGTTGGATGGCAACCAACGGTCACTAGATCAGGGGCTTGCCAAGCGTGCCACTAAGCCACCATCACAGTCCCTCCAAAGACGAGTAGCTCTGCAGAAGATGACAACGCTTAAAGGAAAGCCTTTCTGGAGTACATCCCGGGCCGTACGAGAGCACCGTGCCTCTCGGGACAGCCTCCTCTGCAGCACACCACAAGGGCGTGGGACCGCTTCACGTGGTGCGAGCCCACTTTTGCTTTCAGCCACCCCACTCTTTCAGAGGGCTTGGTGCTTCTGAAGGCTTTTCAGTTCCATCCCATAGCTCTGGCCCACTGGTCTGGCAGGTTCGAAAGGCTGCTGCCTGAACTTCCCCCACCAAACCACCACGTGCTGCCTGCTCACTTGGCCCGTGTTGGTAGCCCTGTTTCATTACACTTCATTGCCTTCATTCATTATAAAACAGAGTAAAAACCTCACTGTAATGCTCTCTTACCCAGCAGGAGATCAAATTCCTGGAGAACCTAATCTTTTATTAATAATGCTGACAAATCACCAGAGTATTACCCTTCATTTATGTAATGTTTCAAATCCTATAAAAGCCTCCTGTGATTATTTCAGACTCTCATGCACACACATCCTCGTGCAGTCCAGTAAGCCACAGGCCAGCAAGGGGAAGAAGAGCCCTGTAGCTCCTCCACGTACCAAGGGGGACCACTTTCTGGCTGGCACGTCGCAGGCAAGCTGGGTGACATCAGCCAGGCTGCAGATGGTGCTGGCCAGTCCCGAAATTCTCAGGCAGGGCTGTGTTTCTCCACCCTGCCGTGCCACAGGCCCACCGGGCTTTCTAGACACCAGAGCCTTTGCAGCCAAAGTGAACACGGAGCCAGCGCACGAGCTCAGGTTTCCAAAAGGAGAGAAGGGCTGCCACGCTCCCACGGGAGGTCTGGGTTTGGAGAGAGAGGGAGCTGACAGCGCTTCTCCGAGGATGTCAGGCTGCAGATTCGTGCAAGAGCACCGAACGCTTCCCTGCGTGCCACACATCCTCTGCCATGCAGCGTGCTACAGAAGAGAGGAGCGATTGCCGTAGCGGGAAGGGCTACCCTGGCCAGTGTTCTGCCTCGGGCAGCCTGCAGCAGACGGCCAGAGGGACAAGACCAAGGCAAGCGTACAGCCACAGCCTCGCCAGTACGTGCAGCTCAGAGACCTTGTGCCTGCTGCAGCCTACACACGTGCAGCAGCCCTCCGTGGGGCTCTCCTCACGCGGTGCGTCAGGTCTCACCCGAACCCGCAGGTTTCCATCAGCCACGACATCCTGCAGCACGGAGCTGCGCAGCGCAGCGGGCCTCCCGCTTGCACGGAACCAGCTACTCCCTAGCTATGTTTGATGTCCTTTATTTCTCATACTGGAAAAGAAGATTAACTACTTCCTAACCACACTGCACTTGATTTTATAGACTATTACATTCCCAAGCCTCTTTGCCTCTATCTCCTGCCCAGGCTGAGGACTCCCCAGCTCGCTTAGTCACCCCTTGCGCTGAAGCTGTGCCAGATCCTCCACCATCATTCTTGTCAGCCATCTCTCAGCCTTTTCCAGTTCTGCTCTGTCTTTTGAGCTGGTCCAGAACTGTAGGCTGCAGCAACACCGTGTATTTGCACTAGATTATGCAGCCACGCAGGAAAGCAATCCCCAAAGGAAGCACCCTACCTGTCCTCCTTCCCCTGCACGTGCAAGCCACTCTCCTGGATAGCAGGGGCTCAGCCACCAATGGGACTTGGGGAAAATGAGGGGGAACGACTCCTGAACACAGCCTGGAGTCAGATGCCACATGTGGCTGTGGCACATTGTCAGAGAAAGAGGGCAAAGCCACCAGCCTTAGCCTGGAACTCCATCCAACCAACCCTCAGTGCTCTGCAAGAGCTGAAACTCTGCGTGTGCTTTTGCTGTTCATTCCCACTGAAAGAGAGTGCAGGCTGACTGAATGGCTGCATAAAGAAAAAAAAAAAAAGGAAAAAAAAATGCTATTCAAAGTATTAGAAGCCAAGTTAAGGAAAGAAATATTTTCCCATGCTTAGATGCAAGGCTCCTAGCTGCTGTCTGTCTGAGGAGTGGCTTTGCAGAAGCCCAGGGAACTGCCAGCTCAGCCATGCTCTGTCGGTGGGTGTCCCACCTGGGTCAGAGTCTATTTCTGGGGCATCCAGCAAGTCACAAGAGGGTTCATGGTATCTCCAGCCTTGATCTGCAACCAAAGAAGAGGGTGCTTTGCCAGACAGCCACCACCTTGGCTGTTCTCTAATCCAAATGCTTTCCTATTACAGCCACAACAAGTTTCTAGTTCCAATCCCTACTGAGCAACTGGGGAGGAGGGACGAGCGTTTGTGCAGCATGCAGAGCACTTTTATTCTGCCCTGGGGGATGCAAAAGCAGCTGCAACACTGACCAAACGGTCAGGCACTGCCTTAGAAAGGAGAAAACATAAGGGCAAGCAGAACCCAGGCTATGGCTGGCTGGGATGGTTGCCGTGTGGGTGTCAGAGGATTAGAAGCAGCCGTTCTCTTTCAGCACAGTAAAGGGAACAGAAACACCACCTTTCTGTGTCCAAAGTCACACGGCAAGCCAACGGGGCGAACAAAGAATCTGGCCAGAGCATAAAGCTCTGCTCACAGCGCTTGAACTCCTCAGAAGAAAGGCTGGAGGTCTGGAAGGATGGAATGGCCAGCTGCAACACCTCCAGTCCAGATTCTCAGGTGAGCTCAGCAGCATGACGCTCTGGACACTTGCATGTTCCTCCTGCAACTCCCAGGACACCTGGTTGCTCCCAGCCTGTCTCATGGCCAGCCTCACCTGAGCAGTACAGTTCCCCTCTTTGCTGTGGATTCAGAAGACACATTTAAGCTTTCGTCTTGCGGCAAGTCAAGCATGGAAAGGGGCGAAACGAAGCTGAGGAGAAGACCCTGTTCTCCTCACCACTGACACCGAGCTTGTATTGCCCACAGCCACAAGCTGAGCTGAAGGGCACTTCATCCCGCAGGAAGAAGGGAAGCGCACAGCCCATCCCTAAATGGCGTGTACCTCTTCGGTGGCTTCCTGCCGTGGCCACCTGCGGTCAGGTCGGAGAGCTCAGGCAGGGCTTCCATCAAGGGCTGCATGTCTCCCACCACAGGTGTTGCTTTCCGCTTCGCTTCGGCTTTTTGCTTCTGCTTGGCTAGCTTCACGCTCTCTATTTCTGAATCAGAAACAAGACGTTACTGGAGCAAGGAGAAGCGTTTGCAAGAGACAGCGTTTGAGCTAAGAAATTCATAGACTGCTTCAGCATCTACAGGAACAACAGGCCAGAACTGATTTAACCCAGGGAAAGACTGAAAATAACGCAGCTAGGTAGTTCCCTCCCTTGCTGTGTTTGCTTATATCTATATACATCTATTGACATTCAAAATGGGAAGAGGAATCCCCAGACCGATTTTGTCTGAACTGTTTCCATCCCTTGCGCTGTTCATTTCTCACAGCAACACGGCACAGGAGTCCTGGGGTGGAAAAAAACCCACACTGACCTTGCATGGAATTAGGAGAGAGAAAAAGAAGAGGCGAAGGGACAAACCAAATACAGTCAGCTCCACATGTGGCATTAAAGAGTCACAGTCCGATCTCCGCTTTGCTGTTGGGACAACTCAATGGTGTCCTAGCTCAGGCAGAAAAGATGGACTTAATTCCAGTTATTTACTTAGTTTGGAGCAAGCGAAGGTCTCACCTCAAGCAGTCAGATGCTGGATAAACTGGGCCCTTAGAAAAGCCCTACACTGAGTAGCAGACACAGAGGCAGCTGGCTTTTCCTTGAGACCATGTTTACCAGTCTCCCTGCAGCAGGTCCAAACAAGACTGCGGGCACATAAGGCTCTGCAAATGTTATGGCACATCAGAAGCAGCAGGCTGCTGCCTCAGTCCTCGAGGCTCCCCGATGTACAAAGAGGTCCCGCTGCTGCCCAAGCCTTACAGAGCCTGCAGTCCCCAGAGCGAGTCCCAGCAGAACACATTCTCTTCCAGGACAGCCCACAAGAGCCCGGCGCTGCTACAAGCCTCCCGCTGAGCTCTAAGATGCCCCAACCTGTCCCAGAAGTCCCTTGATGACGCCACCAGAAACAGCTAGAGCTCAGCGGGATCCGTGAGCGCCTTTTCCTCCCGCCAGGTGATCACCGGGCCTGGAACCCTGCCACATTGCCCCACACTGAGGGGCATCAGCGCCGCAGGGTACACGATGGAGGACTGACTCCACATCCTCCCCACGCAGTTAGCCATGACCACAGGCTTCTGCTTATTGCCTTGGACTGTGAGCATGCTGCAAGGACCAGCCTCAGCGCCGAGCTGGCAGCTCCTTGTCTGGACACGACTGAGCACAGTGCCAGCAGCCATGGGGCCAAGCTGGCGGCACAGGGAGGCCAACGGCTTCCAGCACAGCACGGCCACAGAAGCAGGACTAAATCAGCACAAGTAATTTTGGTGGGAACACAAAAGCAGCCAGTCCCACTTCCAGACCGCAGGCAAGACGCCACTTGCAATCCTGGGTCTAACCCTGCTGCCCACGTTCAAGAAAGCAGAACTCCAAGTCACCGGCTAGCCGCCGGCTCCTTTGCCTTGTTCCCCCCCCCAGCTCCGCTGAGCTGAAGAGCAACGGTTATTCATGAACTTCAATTTTGCTGTACATGGATGTTTGTGACAAATCTGGATTGTAAACGCTTCTCCTCACAGCAGTCCCTGCCAAGAACACGGCTTTCTGTTCTGCATCACTTCTTTTTTTGGTCTGGCTTTATGAAGCTGACTACTTCAGTGCTTTCATAAACAGTATGTGCTCAAAATTTTCAGACACCTGATTCTGCGCAAACATCCCAAATTCTTTTCCTATGAAGTCTTGTTCGTCTCAGGAGCCATGCGATATATGTATTTTTAAATGTGCATAGTTCTAGTGTCTGAAGCATTATGTAATTTTTTTTTCCCTCTCTAGTCTCTCCTGAGATGATTTATTGGAATGGAAGAAATCTCCAAGTTTTGCATTTGCACTATTGGGCTGAACTCTAGTTCCCAGGGTCTTGGCATCCAGTGTCACAAAAGCAGCCCTGGGACAAGAAGAAACAACAAACTCTTGGGAAGATTAAGGAAAACAGAGATGTAACGATAACAACTTCAGCAGTCCAAGCTGGATTCTCCTTTGGGGGGGTAAAGGCTGCAAAACCCACAAAGCACTGGCAGAGTTATCTGCATCAGATACAAATCAATGCATTTCAGCTGACTGCAGCTCTTTACGGTCACAATGTCACAATGTCATGTTTCATTTTAAAATCTCCATCTCTGGAAACCCCAGTTCATTTCGTTCCATCAGCTAATAATATCAGTATCAGTTTCTTTATTGGTCTTTATATACGCTCCTTCCAGCGATTCCATTTTTCTCAACAACAAGCTGCACACCTGGTAGTCGCTGACTTCTCTTACAGAAATCCCCAGGTACTTGCTACCCGTAGCACAGAATTTGCTAGGGCATTCTGGTATTTGCCAATTGGCCATGAGTTTAGCGAGGAAGTGAAGACAGCCAGCAATTTAGGTACTTCTGTATCTGTCAAGCACTTCTAATACCTAGTATCTTCTAAGACGGAGATAATTTGGCCTGAGGTTTTCTGTCTTGGTGTTCTCCTCAAAGCAAAGCCTCTGCACTTCATTTGTATTCCCTCAGCTTAGCAATTTCAGAGCCAAGAGAGGAGGAAAGAGGCCACAGCAGGGCCAAAATAACATACGTGATCTTGAGAAAAAACTGATGCTACAAAAGCATATATGCAGGAGAGCAGGATTAAGAGGGTGTAGGGATCCTACTCCTGGGCTTTTTCAAAGTGGCTGACCTTGACTATGGGAGCAGTGCTGTCACCTAACTGCAGGAGCGAACCCTCTGTTCCTTGCAGAAGACTGTGGATTCCGTCCTAACATGCTGCTGAGGACACACCTTCCTCCACAGCACCCGGTACCAGTTCTGGTGTCAGGGGAGGTAAAGCTCAGCTGTGCTCCAGCAGTCCCCTCCTCCGTCCCTACAACAGCATCAGACAAGGAGAGATCTTTAGGAGCACCAGAACTGCAGCCAGCAGGCCAGACATTACGACCAGCCCAGCCATCTCTGCTTTGTGCCCAACAGGGATGCCGAGGGTTGCAGATGTCAAAGGCACTTGGAAGTTGTTGGCGGTGATAGGGAACAGGTTTCCTTCACGCTCACAGTGTTAAATTACCAGCTTTTTGCTTAAGAGGAGCCAGAGACACCTTCACCCTGACTGGTGAAATCACAGGTTGATGGACTTGAGCTCAGGAGCACAGAGCATATGGTGCGGCAGAAAGCCACATTCCTCCACCCCAAACACAGTCTGTCAGCAACTCCGTTGGGCAAGAAGGTGTTATGGCAAAAGCCTGTCCCAGGAGCAGCTCCAGGAGGCAAGAGGAATCCCTCTGCTGCACTGGGTAGCACAGGGGTAGCAGGGCATTGTCTCTTACCATGCTGAGATACTTGAAGCAAAATTAGACACTTCCCACAGGAAACAGAAGCATTTCTGCCATGGCTGGTTTTGTTCAGCTCGTATTTCACAGCCTCGAGAAGGGCCAGGCTGTCTGCTAAGTGGGTTCACTGACCTGTGGCATGTGGGAAAGAGCAGTAACGCGACCAGTAGCATCCAGAGACCTTGCTTACCAAAGGGCAAGAGGGCCCGCTGCAGGCTCTCACCACAGCGGCTTGGGATTAGCTGGTGGCTGCGTGGGACTCAGCTCCAGGCTGTCCCACCGTCCCCAGGGCTCCTTGGGGGGGGAGGAGCTCTGCTACACAGTTAGTCATTGCTGTACCAGAGCTTTAAAAGATAAAACACACTAAACCTGCATGGGCACAGTGTCCTATCTGGATAAATAAAAGGTTTTATGTAGTCACTTATATTACACAGGAAGATCAAAAGTAGGTTCGGGGCAATGACTCAGTCTCGGTGCTAAGCACCAGGAAACAATACCTGGGACTTTATGCTGTGTGCTGGGGAGCAGATGTGAAGGTTTCTGAGCAGCACGTGGCCTCTCCCAGCCCTGCCCAATGCTGCCGCCCACGCCCCGCGTACAGAGACCCAACAGAGCCACGCTCCGCAATGCCCCGGGGGAGTACTTACTCTGTAGCCATCTTTCTTTCCTCAGCTTCATTTTTTCTTTTTTGGAAAGAACTGTTTTTTCTTCTAGACCTAGAGGAAAAGAGAGACATTGAGATGGAGCCTGGCTCCTGCACACAGATTCAGTGCTGGGCACTTCCCAAAGATGGCAGAGTCCGTAATATTTTGTTCACCCCTTGATGATTTTGAAGCTGCTGGCAGGTCGGGCAGGCTGCAGGCAGACCAGGGGCTACACCGCACCTCAACTTCTAGCCGAACAAATCCAACCCCACTCGCTGCCCATTAAGAAAGAAAAAATGGGCAAGTAGATCAGATCATCAGCACCATAGGCTCTGTTTTCTCAGGCCAGCTCTTTGAGAAAAGCTTTTTGGAGACCCTTGCCCCCTGTCCTGCACTGCTGCATGAACCTGGCCTGGGAGCTGGCATTTTCTTCTGAAAACTAGCCACGAGTGATGGGCCACTACAGGTACCACAACTGGGAACAAAAAGCAAGTTTTAATCTGAAAATATGCAGACCGATAAAGCTAAGAAGGAGGAAAACACAGGCTGCAGCCATGTGCAAGGGTAGGAGGCTGACATGGCTATCGGCACCCGGCTGCCCAGACGGCACGTGGCAGGCAGGGCAAGGACTGGAAAAGATCTGAAAGATGCAGCACCGTGGCAGCCCTAGGGAGCAGCCAGTTACTAACAGCTTGTAAAAAAGGTTAGTACCTCCTAGATACCAAATTCAGGATTTGTAAGCCAGCCATACATCATTGACACCCAATACCAAGTAAAATAACGTCACAAATATTTTTTACTGGGGATCCGTTGCAGACGCTATAAAATTTTATCTTATCTCTGGTGTTTAAAACAAAACTGACTTTAGTCAACTTTTCTCCCAAAATGTGCTGGGAATACTGCTACAGGAATGCCAGCGGAGGAACAGGCTCCACAAAGACCTCTCCTTTGACCTTAGGTTATTCTTAAGCCTGGAAAAGAAAAAAAATATCTTTTTTCTCCCCAGAAGAAAACAGGAGAAAGGAATTCCATGCAACTCTATAAACAACTCACTGCCGAGAGCTTCTCTGAAGCTGCCAATCTTTTGGAATGAATTAAACGAAAGCAGGATCATAATTTCATAATTTCAATGCCTTAAGACCAGAACAAGCCCACTGGGGCTGGGGGGGCTTTTCCATAAAGCCAACCACCATCACCACGTTTTGAGTTTCTAGAGGACAGGGGGAACGAAGCTGTAGCTTTCACTGCCTCGTATCCCAGAAAAACATGTTACTGCAGTCAATGCACCCAAGAAGCAAGAAATAAAACCACGCCTAGAAACCATCACTTATTTACAAAGCTCAGGGATGCCTTGAAGTGTTTGTACGTGACCGATGCTGCTATCCATTTTTCCGTATCCAGGATGAAGCACCAACGCACGGGCACCCTGCTAGGCCCAGGCCAGCCCCATCGGGGACCGGGGCCAGGCAGTAGCAAACATCTAATCAGGCTAAGGGTAAATCTCCTCAATCCATTTGCCATGGTATCGAAGCGGACACTAAAACAACAAACTGAATGTTCCCATAACCAGCTCCGAGCTACCCCCACCCTGGATTGCTCTGTGTTTTTGCGGTTTCAGGGAAAGAAAAGGATGAATCATCCTGATTTGCCATAATGCAAATCTGAAGGGCTGCCTGTAGGAGACACCTCCACCACCCTGCCTTTCTGGCTGCCCCAGCCTGCGCGCATCTCGGTGGCGGCGGTGCCGGCGAGGTTTGCCCCGTCATCTGAAAACACGCTCATTACTTCATTGGGAAAACGGCATCCAGCGGAATTTGTTAATGAAAATAAAATAAAATAAAAATTTCATCCAGCTGGCCAATTCTAGTAATAACATCAATTCAGATTTCCCCCTCCCACCCCAAACGGCAGCGGCATATTTAAGGAAACACAAAAGCTGTTTTCTTGGCAGGGGGCCCCGCCCTGGCGGAGCCTGGCGGCCGGGAGCCGCAGATCACCCGAGGGGTGCAGGGAGAGGAGCTGCTCCCTCCCTCACCCTCCGCCAGCAGCCGGTTTCTGCTTTTTTTCACTGCCTGCTCCTCGGACACCTCCATTTCACATCCCCCTCCCCGCCCGTCCAGAGGTTGTTTCACTGCTGGAAGGTGCCAAGTTGTGTTTGGCAACGTCCAGTCGCGATGCCGAGAGCCAAAGCCTCTGGAAAGCCACTGGAGAACAGTGGAGGCAGAATTTAGCATAGACTGTCCCCAAGGTAGTCTTTTATTTTTATTTAGCTTGCAAGCACCTCTGAGATCCAAGCCAGAACGCAGCTCCAGTTTAATTAAATTTCTGCGACATCAGAAGGGTTTGGGTCCCCTCCTCTCCAGCCCATTCCACGTGTAATTGGACAACACTTGCCCTCGAAACCTTCAGCAGGTAAGAACGGTGAGCAAAACCCACTTGCATTAGCTGAGAGTAATTTACGTACTGTAAACTTGACAATTACTCCTTTTAGCGAGGACATGGTTTTCCTTCCCTCTGATCTGCACAGTACAAAACATCTCAAATGTAAACAGATTTAAAAAAAACAACAATAGCTTTTTGCCTCCTACACCAAGTGTTTGATACTACTCCTGGCAATTCTCAGCATCCTGCTTTCATGGCAGGCAAGCAGATTTTTTTTTCAGTACAGCTTCCTTAATTTCAAAAAGTTGAGGTGTTTTTTTGTAAAGGACTCTTTACAAAGACTACAAAAATATAAAACACACATATATATATGACTGCTTTCCACAAAGGATGCCTTAGACTAAAAATACATACATATACCACCTTAAAGCACCCATTTTGTCCTTTCTAGGCATTCACCAAGAAGCTGGACTGGGTTAAAGCTGTAGCACTACAGGCTTCCCTGAGCCCCGAGATCCCACTATTTGACTCCGCAGCCGACCGGGTGAAAACACAGGCTTCGCAGTTCCAGGAAGCCACGTTACTTCCAAGGTCTTGGCCATGAACAGAAATATCAGATACCAGCAGAAACACAACATAAACCCGGGTGAACAGAGGAGGCTCCTCCAGCACCGGGCGCCTGCTCCCCCCATGCAAAGCTGCCGTGAAGCACCAAGTCCCCCTTTGGTACGAGCTATTAAGAAACAGCGCGCAGTATTAAGTATTATTCCCAGAACTCTGACAATACATAACAGTAAAGCTGTTGCTGCTTGAAACATAATATTTTGGTGAAACAGGGTACTGTATAAATTAAACAACAACAGATGTGTTAATTTTAGCCTCAGTTGTATAACAGCAGCCAAAACGAGCATATGCCTACAGCTGTGGGATGAGCTCACTACAGAAATTCAAAGAATACATCCAAAAGCAAAAGATTGGGTGTGTTCTTTGGTGTTTTGTTTTGGGTTTTTTTTTTTCAATTACATAGTGTCACTTGTACATTGTATGATACCCTTTTACACTGAAAGGGCCTGGGAAACTGTCAGCCACAGTCTCCTGGGGCAAACGCAGCGGCGGTGTGACCTGACAGATGCCAGCACAGAACCGCTGAAGGCAATTCTTTTTCCTCTACGAAGAAAGCTGAGGGACAACACAGGCCAGGCGGAAAGCCAGTCAAGATGTCCTCCAGTCAGGACGGTGCTGCCCAGGAGCCCTCACCCCAGCTCCCCACCACCAGCAGCTCAGCTCCCAACGAGGCGAAAGCCAGCTCCATTCCTCCTAGAGAAAGCACCGACGCAGACATGTCCAGGGAGCCGGGGTCAACAGTGGGACCACAGCGTGGAGGCTGCAAGACCAGAAGCAGGGGCTTGTCCCTTTATCCCCTTGCTCTTAGGGGAGCCCCTGGAGATGGCCTGGTAGCCCGTACATGGTACACGGAGACCATGGCAGGAGAGCGTTCGGGTTTTACCCAGTCCAAGCCCAGCCACCCTGAGCAGGCTCGGGAACCAGTGTTGGAAGAGATGATGACAGCCCCTGCTGGGACAAGGCAGGTTTCACCATGGATACAGCACTTGCTTTTTATATTCCAAAACAAGCTACATTATTTTTGTTCACGCTTAATCATTACAGCAGCACACGGGCTTTCCTCCTGCCCCCGATGAGGAAGGCATCCTATTTAAAGCGGATCTGCATTCTCAACCCTTCCAGATCCCCCGGTTATTTAAAGCGGAGCCCACTTCCAAGCCCAGCTTCCCATCCGAGACCCGGAGGAGCTGCGCGACTCGCGTCCTCGTGCCAAGGTCAGGTCTGGTAAACATCCCCAAGCTCTGACCAGCTACAGCAAGGGCACGAACCCTCCCTCTGCAGAAGAGCCGAGACTCATCTCCGGTCAGCCGCAGAGGTGCCCAAGCCACATGCCATCTGAAGCGGGAGCCGTGCCCCTCAGGAGGTGACCGAGAACTCACAATCCGCACAGTGGTCTGCGTAAAGCAACTGCAGAGACAAAAGTCTGTCCTGCCAAGCGCTGCAGGCACGCTCCGCCCCTGCCACAAGGTAAAAGTATCTCCTCCTCCTCCTCCATTCCAGGCATTTTTCACTCTGCAGCAGCCCTCCATCTTCCCACCTGCACCCTCCCAGCAGCCCTGCCCAGCACAGAGGAGGGCATTCCACGGGTCAGTCCCAGGCTCGCAGAGGATGCTCAAGGTGGCCCTGCGTGACACTGCCCTTCAAGCCACTTCTGCAGCTGGAAGGTTATTTTCACAGCCAAGGCAGAAAGGAGTAACACATCTCACGGAACCTAGCTTCGCAAACCAAGCGTGCCACGAGGGCTGTAAAATGCCTTGTTCTGAGCCAGGTGCTTGGCATTGCCAGTGCGTGGCACAGCGAGATCCCAGAAACCACCGTGAGCCTCCTGATGGAGAAGCTATGGGGAGCTCACCTCATCTGCCAGGTCACAGGCTCCTCCCTGGGACAAGTTATCCTTTGCCCTTGGAGAAAGGTCAGCTCATTTCAGGAGTTACCCTCCCTGTAAAACACGTACAGGGTGCAAACACGGTGGGGTCTGAGGGAGAAATACCCCACCACAATTTCTGCAGCGTGCAGCTTTCTTCGAGGAGAAACATCACAGCAGCAGCACCGGGGACAGCAGGACA